CCGAGAGACTGTGTGATAACGAGAGGGTGATGGCCAGGCTAACTCGACGGCTGATCCGTTATGTATTACTGTCCCGGAGCGGCTAACAAACATTGATGTTATCACTTTCACGCGCCACGAAGTTCAAACCCTATCCAATTGTATGACCATCGGAGCATTCGGGGCAACCCTTCACCCTTTCCTCACGTTGTCAGAACACTCCCCTGCCCGAATTCGATCCGTATCATCTCAGGTAGCCTCTCATCCTCGGCTGTATGCCAACAGTCTATACGATGGTAGGTCCTATCAGTACATCTCCCATTGGATGACTTCAACACAGTACTCTCTTACAACTGAGTGTCAAAGCTGGACCGTCGTGGCCGGCATAAGCCTGCAGGTTCAACGCTCCACGAAATAGATGTTGGCCGCTCCCCACGCAGTGGATTCACCAGCAATACTACCAATAGTACTATTCGGCATCGAATCATCAGAAACGTTAGAGAAAAACTCAAGAACATATTCAAAAATTTGACAAATATATGTCGCTTCGCTCCGCCTATATACATCGCTCCGCTCAAATATTGCTGCATGTTCAGCATTTTTGCAACAATAATTTTGCTGTCGCTTGAGGTAACCATTAGGCACATCCCACGATGTGTGAGGTGTCGCCGACACCGCGTCGATCCTATTGGCTCTCCAACCCTCTCGGTAGCCGCCCTAGGCCACAACGAAGCATCGTCCTGCGTACCGAATCTTTCTCTTATCGCGATGATCGATTATGTCCCTTGGGGACAGCGTAACACAAAGCGCTGGGCAGTGATCTAATCTACTCCTAGCTTCTGATAATCATCATTGTTGTTTATCTCATATAATGAGCGGTTCCTCTCTACCTTACATTGGAAGCAAGATCTCCCTCGTGTCAAACGCGGGCATCCGCTACGAGGGTATCCTCTACACCATCAACACCGAGGAGTCCACTATTGCCCTCCAGAACGTGAAGTCCTTCGGTACTGAGGGTCGCAAGACTCCCGACATTCCCGCCAGTGACGAGGTCTACGATTTTATCATTTTCCGTGGCTCTGATATCAAGGACTTGACCGTCCTAGAAGGTGCCAGCCAGAGGTCTGGTGTCCTCTCTGATCCCGCCATCGTGAGCATGCAGAAGAACGCCCCTACTGTCGCTACTAACGGTATGCAGCGTCAACGTGGCTACTACAACAACAACCGTGGTGGTTACGGTAAGGGTTATGGTAAGGGTTACAACAACTACGGTGGTAAGGGTTATGGCAAGGGCTACAACTACGGCTATCGTAATAGACATCAGAACAGGAACAGAAGGTCCGGTCCCTCTGGCCCTGTCGGTGAGCTTGTCCCCAAACGAGAACCCTGAAGCTAAGGCCGAGG